GGGGCCGAGCCATGAGCGGCGCGGGGCAGGAGCAGGAGTTTGACTTCGATTTCCTCTTCGAGTTCACGCAGAGCGACGAGTGCGGCGGGGGTAGAGGTGGGTGCAGGTCGCGTCCGCCCCCTCCACCGTGCGAGTCGAGCCAGCCCGGGTTATTTCTGGAGCCCCGGGGGGCCGGATGCTGCGTGTGGCCTTCCTGCCTCTCCCCAGCGCCGGGGCTGCGGCAGAGGGGCCCTGGGGAGTCGCTCCCCTCACCAGAGGGATGCTCCTCTCTGCCGCCTCCTTCAGGGGAGGGGGAAGGGGTTACAGGGGAGCTCAGGTTGGCTACGAGACGAATTTCTTCTGACTAGGAGGGTGGGAAAGCCCTGCAACAGGCTGCCCAGAGTGGGGATGGTGTCTCCATCCTTGGAGGTTTTTAAGACCTGGCTAGACAAAGCATGGGCTGGGGTGATCTAGTTGGGGATGGTCCTGCCTGGAGCAGAGGGTTGGACTAGGTGGCCTCCTGAGGGCCCTCCCAACCCTCATTTTCTAGGATTGGACAGAGGGTGGCCCTCTGGGGGAGCTCCCCCCACACCCAGGAGTCACTGCAGGGCTGGCAGGAAGGGCAAGAACCAGCGCCTGTCTGTACTGAGGCTCCATCGGCAGCAAACCTTTCCTCTGGCCCCCACACAACATCCTTTGTGGGGTCTACTGTCCTGGCAAAGGAAACCTTTCCTTTGGCCAGGGGTGTAATCACTTCTCTAGCTTCCTTAGCCGCCTGGCTCCTTCTCCAATGAAGTGCTGGCAAGGGGCAAAGCTGGTTCCACCCAGAAAAGGAAAGAAATGACAGTGTCTTGCTTGGAGTACGTTGCCAGGCCCTGTTAGGACTTTTCTGAGCTTTTCCATTTTATTTTACAGCCGTGCTCATTTCACAGAATCATTGAATCCCAGCAAAAAAGGTTGGGAGGGGCCTCAGGTGGTCATCTAATCTAACCCCCTGCTCAAAGCAGGACCATCCCCAAATACATCATCCCAGCCAAAGAGGAATACAAAACTCTAAAACTCTTGGTTTAGAGGCGATACCTTTATTAGGCCCACTAAAAAATAGCAACAACAAAAAAATCTTTGCAAAGAAAGTTGTTTTGCTATTTTCTAGTTGGTCTGATAAAAGGTATCGCCTCTGAGCCAGGAGTTTTAGAGTTTTGTATTCCTCTTTGTCTCAGACCAACATGGCTACAAAACAGATCCCTCATCCCTGCAAGGCTTCATAGTGGGTCTTAAAAACCTCCAAGGGTGGATATTCCACCACCCCTCTGGGTAACCCATTTCAGTGCTTATCCTCCTAGGGAGAAAGTTTCTCCTCATATCTAACCTAAACTTTCCTTGTGGCAGCTTGACACCATTGCTCCTTCTTCTGCTATCTGCCACCATTGAGAACATTTGCCAGTCAAGCCAATGACAGGAATAGGTTTGATCACCGCTGCCCTTTCCAAACAACTTTTTTTTTTTTTTTTTTAGTGAATAGATATTTTTTCACAGAAAAAAGAAAACCACCCAGATCTCACGTGGATTTTAAAGGTGCATGCATGTATCTAGGATGTGGGTCAGGCCTGTGAAAGAGAAAGAACAATTGGTAAAATCTTATTCAGGTCTTGGATTTATACCATCTCCTTCCCTCCCCCCCGCACAGAAGTTGGGGTGGCCTGCTCTCTGGTTTTATTTGGGACTCATCTCTAGGCAGGTATCTTTTAGGTAATCCAGTTGGGACACCGTGATATAGTAAGGGGATGCAGAGCCATCACTCTGGTGTAGTCTGTGTGTAACTGTAACCACCCTTGAACTATGGCTGAATCTGCAATTGGTCTGAAGAAAAGACTTCTCTGAGTGGATGTGACTTACCCATTTTTCCCTGTGGTGACGAAAACCCAAACACAGCAGGCCCCACAGTGGACTTTTGGAATTACTACTCTGTTTCCGTACACTTTACTATAAAGCTCTAATTCAAGCTTCTGACTACAACGAAGTAGGATCCCATGTTTGTACCTGATTATTGCAAACTCTCAAAGTGAAGCATTTGTCTGAATTTCATGATGACCCATTGCATTCTTCTTTAGGGACCTCATGACATCCAAATGCTTGTGTTCATAGCAATGTTTTGTGAATAAGCAGCCGTAAGGGTTTTAGATTAAAAAAATTCAATTGTGGGTGCCAGAAATTTGGCATCTCTGGCCAAGGTTATCAAAAAGGCCAAATGAAGGCAGGGACCCATATTCCATTGGCTTCCAATAAGAGTTACTCACCTCATTCAGACAGCTTTGAAAACTGGACTTCAAGCTCCAAAACAGAAGGCCCCTGGGTTGTTCAAAGCTCCCCTCCAGGCCTGTGTGAACTGCAGGTACTTGAAACCCTATTAAAACAAAAACAAGGGTGCTCAACAGCTGGGAAGATCAACCCTCTTAATGCTCTAAAGGATTAAAACTTTAATCAGAGGAGAAAGTCGGAAATTTTCAAGATACCACATGATGAAAAGTAATATGGTCAAACGTGGTCGCAAAAAAAGTAAGGGTCCAGTTTCCAATCTCTATAATACTGTTGAAGGTAACCCCCAACTGACATGATTGGAGTTACTGCAGATTTGCACTCACCTAATGGAGATCTCTATTTGTCTCAAATTTAAAATTCACCATTTAAATGTTCCTGGTAGCATGTTTGGTAATTTTGGGTCCTTGAATATCAATGCCAGTGTAGGCTTCAGGCTTGTAAACTGATCTGTGCCTTTGTGGAGCTGTGCCACATGGACACAGAGATACACCTGCAGAGATCAGCTTGCAGGATTGTAGCTTGACATTTTATTTATAGCTGTCTTATTCTTACTCATTCAAAGTATAATAAATGTCAACATATTGGTATAAATTAATAACCTGTGTAAATATGGGGGGAGGGTGGTCCAGTTAATCATTTAGAATACTTGGCTTTTCCATTTCCATTCACTCATTTTTAATATACACTCTAATGACTTGACCCTGTTCCCAGTTCTTGTTCTTATTTACATGGCAGGATTTGCTTTCAGATTTGGTGTTCATACTTTTTGAAGATGCTTGAAGAAGGTGTTTTCATTTATGATAATTACATATATTTTTGGAAGCATTTTTTCCTATTTCTAAAATGAAAAGGGGGAAAATATGAGAAGCTATTGTAATACATATGTATCAGGTACCTGTACAGTGCATTTTTTTTGTAAATATGTACAATTTTTCTTTTTTTTTTTCCTTTTTAAAATGTGTATTTTTTACTGATTAAGTAGATTAAATACTTTGTTGCAAGTATTAGAGAGTGATTCTCAAGCAGAAGTGCTGCCAGATCCTTTAAAGAGTGTTTCCCAGTGTGAGGACATAAGGGAGGGAGGTATGAGGAGATAAGTACAGGCTCAGGCTTTTCCCTGCCTGGTAGATTGTCCACCCCCACTGTCCAGCCCTTCTGCAAGGAAGTAGGCACTGTAACATATAAATTAATTTATGACATTGGGTGCCACTCAATTTATAAAAGTTTTAGAGGGGTATCTCGAGTTCAGAGAAGGGTGCCTCGAGTCCAGAATGGTTGAGAACCACTGTATCAGATGTGGTGGTTCATTTGAAGTATTTGTGGTGCTCAGCTTTAAGCTGCTGCAGTGGACCAATCCCTAGCCCTCTCTTCATATGCTGTATGGGATCTGTGCTGGAGGTCTTCTAGCAGACTACCGTGCACTGCTTTTCACCCTAATGCCTTACTACATTTCATAGCACTCTGAAATGCACGGTGCTTTCCACACAAATAAAAATAGATCCCTGCCTAAGAAGCATGCAGTTCAAGCCCTTAATCCTGCAATGAACTTTGCATAAGTGGTTGTTAAAGCCCACTTAATTTCAGGGGCATTTTACATGGGTACAAAAAACTGTCAGTTTAGAGATCATTGTCAGACTGGCAACTAATTTAAATGTTCTATGGAGTTTAATCTTTCTTTGTATGAAGGAGACTCATTGAGGAATGGGAATAAGTAATAGACTAGTGCCAGCTGTGTGGTGTCCATCAGAGCTATTCTATCGGTGCTGGGAAAGATGATTCTTGAAGGGCTGGAGTGGCACATGTAATGATATGGCCACTTGTTTTTGGTTTTGTATTTGGACACAGCGGCATATCTAGTGGAGACCTAGCAGGGAAACTGTTTCCTCAGGCAGAAAAGGAGTTATCACTCAGTGTGTTCAGAAACTAAGCCCTCTTCTAGTGCTGCCTTGAGCGCTAGCCCTGCTGTAGTCTTGCTGCACGAAGTGGAAAGATGATCCAAACAACCTCTCCCGTATGTGCTAACATAATCTGATGAAGTGCCAGTGCTTCAAGCTCCATTTAGGTCAAAGGGATTTGTGGGTCCTCTGTAGCTCATCAAGTTGGGTTCTTACTTTGAAGGCTGCTGAGCTAATTTCTAGTGCCCCTTTAAAACAGTTGATATCCTTTTTGTTAATTCACTCCACAGGTTACAATCCAGAAAGGGGGCGGGGGGGAATTTAGCTATGGAGGCTTAGGAGCCACTTGAAAAAAAGGAAAGTATTAAGACTTTTTAAAATGGTTTAAAATTTTTCTTTTAAAAATACCAACTAATTTGGTCTTATGCACCAACCTTCACTTCACAGAAATTTGTGATGGCTGGATCCCTAAAATGGTGTATTTTATGGAGCATTCTCACTAATGTCACCACTGTAATACAGATGTCTTATTTAAATGCCACCATTTGGCTACTTTGATATTGGAAAATATGTAAACAAAATTGTGACTATAAACCCTATTAAATTGTGACTATTAAGTTGATCAGTCTGTTTGGGTTCCCAATGATATACATGCAACATTGACCTTGCTCCATGTATATATATGTGTGACAAAGACTTAATATACCTGAGTCCTATTTTTTCCCCAGTATGAATATTTCCAGAGGCCCAAATTGAGGCCAAGACCTCACAATGTTAGAAATTGCACAAACACATACATACCAAGAAATGAATCCATATATATTCTAAAGAGAGAAGGCAGTCAGAGGCTAGGAGAGAAAACAAAGGCACGCAATGGCAAAGGGGTCAAGGTTGCACAGCCTCCTACTATCAGAGAACATGTGTCTTCTTGTCCCCAATCAAAACAAGCACCAGCTATGCCCTGCTGTAACATAAGATAGCAAGACTGTTACAAAAATACTGGGCTTTATTAACTGTGTGCTGTTAGGAAGAAAGACAATGCAAAAACTTTGTAAGGGGTAACATTGTGGTCAAGTTAATTTTTTTTTTCAAAGCAGCCGCCTTTTTTTTTATAACTTAGCTGCTACTTCCTGCCTTCCTGGGGTGTGATTAAAGTATCGAGCTAGAATATGTTTTGAATAGTTTTGTTTAATTTGTAGCATACTCTTTCTTGGTAAATAGCGAGTTTCCTAAGGCTAAGTACAAAGCGATTCGAATAGGTGTTGAACACATTAATATTGCCTGACAAGATATAAATCAGCTTGAACATCACAGAGTTACTATAGAACAGGCAAAATATATTAATTTTATGTAAATATACCTCTTTTTGAATCATTGACATTAAGAAGTCTGACTGCTGTGTAGCTGGTTAATGACATCAAATTGGGTAGAGCTGATTAAACAATAGAAATAGTGGCAGCAAGTGTCCTGGTGCAACAAGCTCAGCAGCTTGTTTGCATATTCAGAACTACAGAGGATTGGATCATGTTGGGAATAACAGTCATGGTAATTAACAAAGCTTTTCCGGATCTCTGCCTTCATGGTAAGCCTGGGTCACTGCCTAGAGGGTTTGCCTCTTGGGAGAGAAAGAAACAAACACTGTATAAGGAAGGACTCTTGTTGTAGGGAAGACTAGCTTGTTTATTGTTATTGTTCAGGAATGAAAAAAGTTACCTCTACTATAACAATATTCTTAAAAGGACCTTGCAATGAAAATGCATGTTAAAAATAACATGGGGAAATACTCTTTAAAAACAGGACTAACCAAAATTAGAGGATCTGTTTTCTTTTCTCAGTTTAGGGTCAGGTTGTGCTGTTAGGACACTGGACTGGATAAGATGAGGATCCAGAGCTCCTTCTTCAGACCTCTGAAAGGTACTGAAGAAGGATACCTACTGTGCCACCCTGTATGTGCATGAATTGGGCATCACTTGACATGGCCAGCCATCTTTGCTGGTTTGTTTAAAGAAGGCTCCACCCTCAACCCTGATGCTAACAGGAAGCAGTATTGCAGGTATCTGTACTGGCTTTTGCATAGACAGACAGTAAGTATGCGAGTGGGGCTCCCTATAATGTATCTCCCTCACATTTTCCCACGCATCTCACAAAAGTCCTTGCAAAAGCAAACCCTATCTGGCTCTTTATAGTGCAATGTACTGAAATTCACCTATGGTCATTCAGTGACCAAGCAATGCAGCCCATGTGGTAACCTGATCTTAGATCCTGCCTAGTTTTCTTGCATTAGCTGTGTTGCTGAACCAGCACTTCCAAATGTATCTTAGAAATGTTGTCAAATAGATAAAATATAGATCAAGAGAACACTGGCTGTGCTTAAAAGGTTGTATAAAATAACAAATATTATTTCAGTTGAATTCCAGGACCACAAAGTATTAAGAACTCCATGTGAATCCTTTACTAGGTGCAGGTTTGACTAAAGGATAAGTAGACCCAGAAATCAGAGTGGGATAAGAGGGTTTTTGTATTCCAAAACTAGTTGTAAAGTAGAACCAGTGGGAACTTAGCCATGGTGAAAATTTCACTTGTATGTGATTTCAGCAGAATGTCTTTGATCATGTTCTTTGCATTAGATGCCTCCTACTTTATTTCCCTCGTCCCTTCCCTTGTCCCCCTCCCACCCATCATTTGTTTGTTTCCTTTCTTGGGTCTATGGTTCACATGTAGTCATTGCAAGCTTCTGCCTGAGTGACCAGTCTCTGAACAGTAAAGTTTTGTGGCTTGAAGACTGAATTCTGCTTCTAAGACTTACATCTAAGAAAGGGAGCTGTTCAACGGAATGTCTTGGAGATAAATTCAGTTTCTCCAAGGATGTTTTGCTTCACCCAGAGTACTTATACTTTATGAAGCACCAGTTGCCAGCACCTAACCTACTTTGCATGCCTGTGCTATGTAATGTTAAGTAATGACAGTGCTTTTGTGGGATTATAGCATCCTACTTCACTAACAATCAGTAGGTGACTAAAATCGTATCTGTGCAACACCTCATGTCATTCTTTTTTTTTTTCCAGAACGCTATAATTATGCAACTCCAAATGTAAATGCTGGTTTGCCTCTAAATGTGGCACATTCCTCATTGTCAGCTCCATGTCATGGGCTTCAGACATCCAATCCAGTCATTTCAATTGTCCCATCAACAAATCATCCTTCTGGATATGGAGGACATCTTGACAGTGTGGCCTCTGAATATTATCTGTCTCCAAATGTCAGACCTAATGGAGCTCCAGCATTAGAAAGCCCTAGAATTGAGATAACTTCTTATCTGGGACTGCACCATAACAACAACCAGTTTTTCCATGATGCTGAGGTTGAGGAAGCTATCCCAAATGCTAAAAGATCACCTTCTACTGCTACTTTGAACTTACCAAACATAGAGGCTTATAGAGACCCATCTTGCCTGAGTCCAGCAAGTAGCTTGTCTTCCAGAAGCTGCAATTCTGAAGCTTCCTCCTATGAATCCAATTATTCTTATCCATATACTTCACCCCAGACATCCCCATGGCAGTCACCATGTGTGTCTCCTAAGACCACTGACACTGAGGAAGGATATCAGCGCAGTATGGTGGCCTGCACTTTACTTAATTCACCAAGACATTCTCCATCTACATCTCCCAGAACAAGCATTACTGAGGAAAACTGGTTAAGTACTCGCAACTCCAGACCACCGTCTCCTTGTAATAAAAGAAAATATAGTCTAAATGGTAGACAGACCTCCTACTCACCACACCACTCTCCAACACCCTCTCCTCAGAATTCGCCTCGGGTTAGTGTAACTGATGACACATGGCTGGGAAACACTAACCAGTACACCAGTTCAGCTATAGTTGCAGCTATCAATGCCCTTACCACTGACAGTACGATAGACATGAATGATGGGATTCCTATTAAGTCTAGGAAGACTGCAATAGATCATACCCCATCCATGACACTCAAGACTGAACCAACTGGTGAGGATCATGGGACCATATCACCAACTGCTGACTTGTCACCAGAAGAGTTTTCTGGGTTTCAGCACATCAGAAAAGGAAACTTCTGTGAGCAGTACCTTTCTGTGCCACAGCACACATATCCATGGGTCAAACCAAAGTCTCTGACTCCTGCATCCTACATGAGGTAAGGTTTCCTGATACTACAGAAAAAAAATTAATAATGCTCTTATGTGTACTTTTTCTCCTTTTCTTGTCTATCTTTCCTTTTCCAACCAAATCTCATCCCTTCCCACATGAAACATTTAATTGCTCTACTTTGCACTTTCATAACACTGCATCTTTAATGTATGGTGTGACCCTAGATAAAACCTTTAGCAGTAACAATGTAATAGTTGGAATCAATGGTCCTGGGAGTTGCAACTTCAACACATTGTTCAATTCCTGGGAGACCAAATCCTATTCCTGGAAATCGAGAGACCATGAATACAGGTGCATTCAGAAACCTGGACCTCAGTCAGCAGGACAATATGGTGCTGTCAAACCTGTGGCTTTAGTAATTAATTAAGCATTTTCATTTTTTTCCCCATACAATAATTACACATCTTACTGAGATACCTGCTAATGGAGCTCTGACAGAGTCTTTTTTGCTAAAGCCTTTTGCACAGTGTATAAAAACATAAAATATTTTTTGTTATTTTATACAGTATTCTACTCTTATATTCTACTCACTCACTTTATCTGAAAACTAGTCAGCAGTCTTTCTTTGCTGCATGTCTGATGGTGGTTTTTCAGCAATGTTTTGTCAATTAACAAAAATGTCATTGGGTACTAATAACACATGACATATATCTTGTCACTTTTATTTATCATGCAGTGACACTAGTTGTCAGCATAGGAAAAGCCAAAGGATAGTCAAAAATTTTAAGTGAATGTAATACATCCTTAGGTATAGCATTTACTTCTTAAAGGCTCCTAGAAAAAGATCTTTCAGAAAGTCCAAATACTGGTCTATGATTTCTAGTTCTTATCATAAAAGTCAGTGAATTTGCAGGTCTGACTGGCTATGTGCTTTGATTAAATGAATTGGCACTCTTTAAATGTGAAGCCAAATGGTAGGTAAGTAGGGGAAATGCCTGTCCCTACATTCCCCTCTCCCCCACTTTTTTTCAAGGTAACTTCTTTGTAGTGGTGGCTGTCTTCAAAAGTCACTAAACAAATTATGACATCTTCTACCATAGGAAAGAGTAGTGTGCCTGTTCAATCTCACACCCAACCCTGGTCCTCCTTTCTTGGGTTTGTATAATTCTAGAATGACCCAAAGCTTCTGTTTGAGTTCCCTTTAGGAACCTGATCCTGCACAGTGGTGACCAATTGCTTAAGGATGCTAAATACTCCCCACTTCACTAAAGTCGCTGGGAAATGAGCACTCTGTACCTTGCAGGACTGAGCTCTCAGTTTGTATAGCACCGGATAAATCCTTTAGGGCGCTCTTGCATATTTAAAACGCCTTTTGTGTTATCCCTCCAAAGGTGTAAAGTAATCTAAATTGGTTGCAAAAGCAGAAAATGTAAAACACACACACACCAGACTTCAAGGGGAACAATATGACAATTGACTAACATTCTCTTTTATCATTCAGTTACAGAGCGCCACCCTTTTACATGTTATTATATGCAGGCAGAATGCACCCTACATTCCAATGTGCTAAAATAAACAAAAAAGGTGAAATGTGCAAAAACTGAGCCTCAGCATGCTGTGTATTTAACATTTTTTCCACTGTTTTGGTCTTGTATAAAATATGTTTCCTGGTTCACAATATGTTTCCATGTGATCTCATTAACTTGTGCTCTGGGGCAGCTGGAAGCTACTGTAGAAATGTGATTTTAAGTTATTTCGCCAATCAAATACACTGACCACGTTTCCTTTCACAAAAAATATCTCACATTTTATGTATATGAAAGAGAGACGGGTAATTGAACACAGACGTCAACAGGATCACAGACTACGCAACAGAAATGATGTTGTTTTAAATCTTTCCAAAAAACTGGATAAGAATTTGTCACAACAGATCTGGATTTTTTCCTGTTATTTTACACATCTGTTCTATTTCAATTGCTAGGATTTTAGGGTTAGGTTTCAACAAACAATTCAGATTCCAAAATCCACCCTGTCATAATGATTTTTAGATAACCACATTTGATTACCTCCTCTATCTCTTCCTGAGTATATGTTAAAATTTTCATAAAAAAGAAAGCATGACTTGGAAAATCACTCTTTTTTTTCTTTACTTCTCTGAACTTCTAATTTTATTGTTTGGTTTTTTTCTGCACCAGACTCCATGCCAGTAGTAGAGGTCCTTAGTGATATTTTGAATAGTTTCAAATGTTGGTTACCTTTTTTCACTCACATTAAAACTAATCTATTTTATCATAGGGTTTACCTATGAGCAAACTAGAGAATAAAGAAAAGTACAGAATTCCATCTACAGCTGAGATTTTCCTAATCCTGCAGTCTTTTTAAATCTAAAACATCTACTAATTTCAGCTGCAGTTTCCAACATGCATGATCATTGTGGGATTGGGACAAATCAGAATTAGATCTCAATTTGGGGTTTAATGACAGAACAGCCATAGACCTGAATTTGAACAGCACTGGCCTTTTAGAGTCCAATTCCTACTGACAAGAACTTTAATGCTCACACAAACACGTGTTGAAATCTTCACAGCTCTGCATGGTCACTGTAGATCACAGGGCAAGACCAAATCCTGCCACTGATACCATGTCAGGTGAAATCTGACTGAGTCTGCTGAGGTTAGAACCCTAGTGAAGGTCTAGGGCAACAGAAGGATACCTGTTATTGACCTACATGCTACTCTTTAGAGGATTAGCCTGTAGCCTTTGACCCAAGCAGTAGGATATAGGAAACATTTATGAGTGAAACAGAAGTTTGCAAGGGATGTGTTGACATAAACTGAATGAGTCATGTGAATCATTCTGTTTCTTGAAAAATGGAGTAACTGTTACCAATTTTTACCTATTATGTCGGACAAATTTTAACGCTAAATTATTACATAGATTGAAGATGAAGGAACAACAAAAGATAAAATATTGCAAGATCACTTCCTAGTTTTTATTCAGGGTTTCTTTTTTATTTAGTGTTATTCTTTGGGCTGTGTAGAATAATTGAAAGTAAAACGTGATTGAGGGGTCCTCTTAAATTATACTTTTCTCAACTGTCTTCAGAAAAGGATCGTTTCCATTGGTAATCATTCTCCTATGGCAATGATAATTAAAAAGAAGTGTCTTATTAGCCAGTTACTTGGGAAAAAATGTTTTTCATGTCATTTTAATAATAATTGCATTCCTCTATAAGTATGCTACTTCAATTTACTACGTCAATCTAGCCACGCAATAGTTACAATTTTTTTTTTTTTAAGTTTTGGAAAAATAGGGTTTTATAACATGACTAACATTCCAAAATAGTAGTTGTTATACCAAAATTACTGGCATCTCCCTTAAATCCCAGGTCTCTGAAAAAGCTTATGGTATGAGTGTGTTTTTGTCTGTGGAGCTAATGTATCTGACTATGTAACCTTCAGTCAAACTTTCAATGAATTTCCTAGGGACTTCACTTATACATTGAAAAATGACAGTTTTCTTTTATAACTCAGTTATCTTATCACATGAATTTACAAATGTGGTGGCCTATACCATTTGGAAATGAATTCAATATAGCTTTGCTAGTTTTGCTGGTCAGCTCTATGGCATGCATAAGGTATACCACACTAAAAAGAGCTTCCAGGAACAGGTTTTCTATTCCAGGTGGGTTTATAAAAGCTTTGTGCTCTGATTTTTTGTGCAGCCTATTTTTTCAACAGTGAAAAGTCTGATTTTTACCTGCAGTCTCCATTTCTCAGCCTCCAAAATACACATGCATGTCCTTGTATGCACAAAAATACAGTCATCTGTTTTTGCATATGGAACCTGTAATTTACAAACACACAAGTCAGTGCTTGGGTACCCCTCAAATTCAAGTTGCAAAGACAAATTTAGGCCACATACAGACATTCAGTTTCTCCTGGGAGATTTGCTGATATCCCAGGACATATGACAAGTGTACAGATGTTCAGGATTTTTCTCCCAAAGTAAAAATGGCTACTCCAAGAGAAAAATAACCTGCAAACAACCAGGATTATATCACCCCAAAGAGAGTTTATCCTGGGAGAACAAACATCTATACACATTTTCTTTTGAGAGAAGCCACAGCACAGTCCTCCAACATCCCAGGGTGTTTTGCTGCCCCTTTCTTCCCCACCTTTGTCACCATTACCTCCCTCCAATTCCTAGGGAGGCAGTGTGTCACTTGCTTGATTCTGCTGCTCCAGACAATGGTGGCATTGCCTGTTTTGGTTTTTTTCCATGAATTCAGGATTAGATGTTTTAGCCTGCATCCTCCAACCCCAACAGTTAAAAAAAAAAACAAGTCAGGGCCCACAAATTCTCTTCAATATCATGAGCTATCATTAAAAAAGTGCCACATTTTAGATTAGATTTCTTCACGTTTTGTTTTGAACTAGTATGCTACTCTTCTCTCCAAGACCATGAAAGAAGACAGGGCCAAAGACCTACTCTATAAGGATCAGACAGCAAAGCTGTTCCATAAGAGATGATAAGCTATGCTCAGCAATGACCTACAGGAGTGGGTACACACAGTCTCTGTGTTTCTGCAAGACCTGCAGCTATGCATTTTATTCCCTGGCAAAGTATTTTCAGGGCCAGTAGCAATTATCCCTTATATTTGCTGTTGTGTATGACTAAGGTATTTGATCTTGTTGGGTTAACATAGTATTCCTAAGGACTACTCTAGGGGGATAGCTCAGTAAAACTGACCTCTTTATCTCCTCCTTGTTTTTGAATGTACTCAAAGTCTCTTGTGAGATCTTTATTAATGATCTTTGTTTTGGTTTTTGATGGTTTAGTTTTAGCATAGTGCAGTATTAAATTCAGAGCAGTGAGAGATGCAATAAAGGCCTTAAGATTCTTAACTATGCTGTAGTTTTCCATGAAATATGTCTTGTGCTTTCCAAGTTCTTGCCTTAAAATCAATAAAAAACTAATTTTGCCTATACAAGTCATATTCTGAAGCTTGGGTTTTAGGACCTCAGTGCCCCTGAGCATAAAAAT